TATATATACATATATATAAAGCACTTGATCACAATATTAAGATTACATTTTCAACTTTACTGTCACTTGAACGTTGTCATTGTGCAAAGAACAGTGATGACAAACCCAGCCTGCTTGTCCGTTACTTAAGCAGGAAGAGATGCATTAGTATACAGAGCTGAGGAGGTGGTTGTGGTTACACTCTTCATCCTCTACTCTCACTTCAGAGCACCACTCTCACAGTGCAACGTAAACAAACTGACCTGGAAGCTTCTGGTGCAATTGAAACATATGTACCAATGTATGTAGTGATAGAGAAATGTTATGTGAATCATAGGAGAACATAAATAAACGAGCTGAGACTTCAATCTGTATATCTGTACATACAGTGGAAGATTTAGGTAAATTTACAAACACGATTAAAGAAAATGTTCAATCATTTGAATGAAGAAGAACAAAGAAAAAATATTTAAAGAGCTAGTCTAACTACACTTGCTGCTTGACGATCATACAGTTCAATCAAGTAATAACCTGCAATTTCCTAAGACAGTCCTGTGTCCAGCCTATGCTTACAAATGTAGAGACAGCTGCAAACAAGAAATGTAACAACTGAAAATATACTTTGAATAATATAAATAAAGACTGAATAAAGGCTTAGACTCTTATGTCTATCATCTCCCATGTGGTAATAAGTTTTTTGTTTCTGTGCACAAAACTATTTGTGCACGACGGATACAAAGATGAAGATAAACAGAGTTGATGCACAGAAGCAGCATTGCTGTGTTTGGACTGCGGTTACAAAGGGACTTTTTTTTCCTGTTTCTTTTTTGTTTTCAAAGAGCTGATCTAGTAGCACTTTATGTATTTTTAAAAGGAAAGTGGAATGGCACTATAATAGTAACTACGCTCAACTCTTTTTACATCAATACAAGGATCTGTTAGAGCATATTTGAGGAAGGCACACACAGAGACCTGCTTAGTCATGCTGCAGTTCTTGATCACAGTCTGTGTCTGCAGATATAAAACAGTTACAGTTTTTGTGGTTGATTTCTTTTTTAAAAAAGACAAAGACAAAAAAAAATAAGCACATTAACGTAGCTGAAATGATCAGTTTCTATAACTAGTCTGTTTAAGTGCCTTATGGCTCTTGTCTCTCGTTTTATCTAGGGAGAAAGCTCACAGTGATATCTGTTGTGAGTTAACAGATTCAGTGTAGGCAGAGAAATTGGCCATTACAACGTTTGTCTGTCAGTGTATCTGATGAATGTGGCTTTGCTTGCTCTTTTCTTTTGATATGCAAAAGGACATTCACTACAAGCATAAGACATAATAAGATATAATAGAAAGACACTTATAGCTCAGATTCTAGTGTTTTTTGCTTGTTTATTTGCTTGTTTTCTTTTCTAAGCAGCAAAAATTTAACACCGTCTCAGCGACAATCCACACCAGTATCAGTGCTCTATCAAACAGACCTACCTTTGTGGTTTTGGCTGCATTTTTTATTGTGCTGCTAACAAAACATCACATACCCACTCCACCATGCAGTACCTCTTATATATCTAATAAATCAGTGGAGTTATGCTTAGAGAGTTTGAATTTATTTTGGATTTCCCAAAGACCCACGTTTATGCACACTCAGTTAAATATTTTAATGAGTTGTGTTGAAATTTCTTCTATGCTTTTTAACTTCTTGTTAATAATCATGATTTACTACAACTAGTATTTTCTCTTTGCCAATGTTACAACCCCTCATCTGATAAATCTCAGGGCAACACAGTGTAAAGTACCAGTAGACGTCCCACAAGCTGAGCATCCAAAGAAGATAACTTTACAAACAATTTATTTATTTATAATTAATATTTACAATAAACGTATACCATTAAGGTTAACAGAAGTGAATAATAAGCAAACTGACCAAGGCTAAAGTACAAACACAAAACTCCACGCTCTGGCCGGAAGAAAAGTAGCGCTAAGCTATAAGTTGAAACAAAACTACAATGCCAAGAATTTTTTTTTAATCTTAGACTCATGTTAGACTATGTCATTAAAGAAAAGTATAATTCTACACACCTGATCTCACTCTGCCTGCTATTAATGATATAAATTCAAACATACATGTCATTTCAGGTTATGAACTATGCAGCTTTTGGTTGCTCCACAACAAAAGTAAAAGAAAAAAAAGAAAAAAAGAGAGAGGAGAGAGTCACTGGCAGACTGTGGACACTGCAGGTTTTCTGTCTGATTAGCATCATCAATCCTCTGTATAGGCAGAAAAAGGCCGGAGCAGCAGTCCTTTAACAGACGCATAACAACCGATGGGACCCCTGTTTTGTTTTGTTTTTTAAATTAAGGTTAGTTTGGGGATATTTAATGATGACACAATAAGCTTGATTGATTGAGCATGCTATTATTAACAGGGACAGAACAAAAAAAATGAAATACAAAAAAAAAAGAAATTAAAGTCCATTGGCTCTAAGGAAACATCTTCAGTGTTGTGGGGGTAAGCGTGGGAAACAGATCTAATCCAGTCCAAAATTCATGGAAATCTGCTGCCTCTTCCCGGCCTTTATGTTCTTTTTATCTTGTATCATAGTAAAGATCACAGCAGAAAACACTGATGTGTCCTTTTCCTGGGAAAATAAAAAAAAATATTAGAAACATCAAAACCAGAAAAACTAGTAATGCACACACAAGAAACATTTTTTTACGCTTTATTCAACATTTGTTCACTCCTGGTGTTCCTGGTCAAAAATGGCCAATCATTCAGTTACACTCCCTTTTGTAAGATGAACATACATACGCACTGATGCATATGCGTAATGCATACACATATGAGCACATACACACACACACATACATATACAGACATACAGACACCTTCCCTGGCAGCCACTATGGAAACCATTGCCCAGTAGGGCCTCTCTACAACACTAGGGAACAACTCATGTGTTGACAGCTCTCATAGACCGTTGAAACATTGTTTCAG